GCTCAAGCGAAGCTTTAAAAGTCCACTTGTTGGATTCCCTCAAAAGGGCATCGTAAGAAATAGGGCTTTCTTCCCAGCCGTCGGCATTTCCGATTTTGGTTAACTTTCCTCCATAAATTTATTGAGAACTTTTCTGGAAAGCCATTTTCTTGCAGGGTGTTTTTAATGAGTGTGAGTTCGTTCGCCAGTTTCTCTGGAGAACATATTCTCCTAGTTCACTTAGTGAGGCAGCGGACTAGGCTTCGTTTTTGACTTAGTGGGACAAAACTGTACATTGCCCTGTCCATGTTTCCTTGCGAAATACAGTTCTAGATATTGTTCCATCAGACCTTGTACTAAGAAGCACGTCCAGAAAGGGGAGGCACTGCCTGTTCTCTTTTTCTAAAGTGAAGGTTAACGCTGGGTACACCTGATTCACTTTATCTAGGAAAGTGTCCAACTCAAGTCTTTCATCTGCTAGTACAAAAATATCGTCCACGTATCGAGTATAGGAAGGAAACTGCTTTATAGTAGGGGAGCGTTGATTGCTCTCAAGTTTGCCCATGAAAGCATCAGCTAATATAGGTCCGATCCCATAGCTGCGCCATTGATTTGGAGGAAAAACTGGCCATAAAAGCTGAATTGCACGTTTAGCGTGCAGCGACAGAGCAATTCCTTTAGGTCTCCGAACATCAACCCGCGAGACGGTGAGGAGACTACGACAGCAAATGTCCCCACGCCGCGAAACGGCGATGAGACAGCCAGAACAAGCATCCTTAGGCCACCCACGCCGTCACGAGACGATGACGCCTTGCGTCCTCACGCCTCCCAACAAAATGCGAGGCAGGGACGACAAGAACTAATTGTCGGACCCCTTCCTCCCCCTTCTCTCTCGCTCATGACTAGAGTCTGACCCCCTTGACCCCTTAACAACTCTTTCCCTAATTACTAGTGATTGGTTGTTTAAACTTTTGTTAACTCTACCCTCCTTTATCTTATTGTCTTAGCCTAATGATTAATTAATCGAAAACGTTCGTTCGCCTAATCTGACTTCCTGAATAGTTATCTGAGTATCATTGGCGAACTTTAAAGACAGTCTAGCCAACGATGCTTTAGTTTTCATAACCTACAAATCTGTTCAAAGATCGAGGTGTTCCATGCACGATTCGTAAATAATAATCAAAATACACGTCAAGTTCGAAGCACACAATTTTGTAAGGAAAAATCTGTGATTCGCACTTAACGTACTTTACGCTATCCCGGTAGTCGTTTATAAAACAAATATTTTTGTAGACGTGTACATAACTTTTGAAAATCGGAATTAAGAAGCTTTGATTATGTAGAGATACAATTTAGACAAAAGGATCATCTGTTTAGGCTTCCTGAGGAATTTCATCACATTTAGACTACAAGGTCTTCCCAGAAAAGGTGTTCTAAAAATTCGGAGATGACGGAGTCGCAACTTTTGTCCGCAGGACACGGGAATGCCTCGTATAGTTTGTAAGCTAGCACTGAATTAAAAGGGCATTGGAGCTAGGATACGAACGATTATGCCTTTCCCCTCTCCTCGGTTGTACAGATGTCCTTCAGCGAAATTCCAGGGATGTTGCTTATTTCCATGTCAAATCTTTTTCTTTCGGGTTAACGTGACATATTTCCCGTCATAATCGGCACATAGGTAGTAGTAGTATTGGTACTGGATGAGCCGTTGACTGTGTAGTTGGGCCGTTGTACGTCAACCCCACCCACTCATAGCCGATTCCGTATAGAAACCGTCACGGCCGGTTGAATACGCGCAATCCTGTCATTTGAAACCCCTTCGCGGAGCCTTGATAGATGTTTTTCGGATTTAGCAAAACACCAGAGCAGTCAAAATCACCTCCTCCCCCATAATTATCGTCTGAGTTGGTGAAAGCCCGTTTTTGTGACGGCCTACTCTGCAAACCAAACTAGCGGATACGTGTCTGTGTAGAGGAGCTTGGTCTTCAAGTGCCATTTTAAACGTCTAGTGCCACTGCGCGTAGGTGTAACATAAATTTTAAGTCAGTATGTAATTAGCGAAGGTAGACGGGCTTCTTGCCGGGCCTTAAGATAGCTATAGACGGAGTTTTATGAGGAATTACTGGGTGGAATTTAACTGGACACTAGAATTAAGCAAGCGTGTTCTGCTGCCTTTCGTGTTAACGGTCATAAGTCAGGGTTAAGAGAAGAGGCTGTACTAGATTAGGGATAAACTCTACTATCCCGGGTATGTTTAGCATTAACGCTGATGTTGTTTTTAGGCTAGCTGTCATGGTTGGGGTTAAGATTGATCATGTGTGTTTCAGCTTTTCCGATAATAGTCATTCGAATCAATCTTTGTTTTGATTATGTCTGCGGCTCGATCTGTTACAAAAAAAATTACGTAACCGCTAATAATTTATTTATTACGTACATGCAACCCATCAGCTCACATTCGTTCTCTTCATAGACCTCAATTCAGGTTATTTGTATACAAGCTTTAGTTCACCCATTTCATGCAAAATAAAATGGCATCATGCCAATCATTGTTACACTACAAAGTATTACGGTGTCCCTCGATGCCAGTTTTCTGACCGCGCGCTAAGCCCAGTGTGTGTTTGTGTGGAGTGGCTGACTGGTGAACTGAGATTCAGGTCCTATGGCACTTCCCCTTCGAACCAGATATGACAGCGCGTTTAGTGCCGGCTCCGGCTGCGCCAGCCATCTGCGCCTTCTCCCACCTCCAGTCTTCTTGACTTAGTCACGACAGCGCACCGAGCTGATGAGGACAGAGAGAGAGAGAGTGTGGTAGACGCACTGTAAGTCAACTAACGCTTAAAACTAATCCAAGCATAAGTCAGCTTGCTTGCCGTGAGCTTGCTGAAGCACGTCGGATTTAACGGTCGAACGGCAGATCGATAACCGAGAGTAGTGCCATACAGGAAAAAGTCCTCAAAAGTAAAATCTAATGCAAATTATTTGCGCTCAGCTGTTTGTCCTTTTTGTGCTATCGTAAGTGAGGCAGAAACGGACAATTCATTTATGCTAGGCTTACCTGTGTATATATTAAGCCATAAGCCAAATTTCTGAATAACATTTTCTTGTCTTCTTTTAATTATTTTGTTCAGCGTGAAGGGCACTTCCAAGATAATGAGGTCACGGGGTTGATAGGAATGGTAA